GCAAAAAACTTCTTAGATTTCACAACATCAAAATTCACTTTATGATCATTCACTCTCATGGTAAGTTCGTGTATTTGTACATCAATTATCACTCGTCTATTGGTTAAAAAGGGTCTGTCAATGTATAATGGGGACATCCTTATTTTCCTCAATGCTCAATAAAATTAGTAAGGAAGATGAACTTTTCCAATTTAACCAAAACATCCTCGATTAACCCTCTAAGAGCACTCACCTTACTGCAAGGTCAAGATGGTGGGTTGGACATCTCCTAATTCTAGTCTTTTGAAAATGATTAAAGGTATAAGTTTGATGCTAGTTTTTTAATCATATAAATCGCTCCCGCTAAATTACTTTTTTATGGCACAAGGAATATTGAAGCAACCTAGCTCCTTTAATTTTTTAGGCAATTTCTTCTACAACACTACACTTCTCAATCTGGCAATCATCTCACCAGCTCCTAATTTCTTTTCCTTATCCAAGACAACCTTCATGAACCCCACATAACTTGGATTCTACTCTATGGCTTTAGCATATAGAATATTAATTTTGAGTTTATTGAAAACCTCAAAAACCTTGAATATTTGTTGGTCCTTTCTATACTTCTAAAGTTTATAAAGAAAGGGGTTAGTCTCTCTTGCTCTTTCCTAAAAATGAGGTGGGATTTCATAAGTCCAGGGTTAGTTTTTCAAGGAGGCTTCAGCACTTAGGATATCTTTTCCCTACTATTTCACCCTCCTTCCTAAGGGTATATTTTCCCTCGATCCTAGTCCTCATCCTGATGGATTTACACTCCACCACCTTCTAATCTCTTGTATTCACCTTAGTGTTACTAGTGAATGTTTTTTAAAGTTTAATATTCACTGAGTTTGTCAACCGCCCATTTTGAATTTCAAGGTTTTTCATAGCTAATGCTTGGTTTTATAATTGATTCCTCTTTTGTAACACCTGGTGTTCCCTCATTGTTGGTTTCCTACCACTAGGTTGTTATTATTCTAATTGAAATTTTGATGGTTTTTCTAGCTTAAGTTATAGGTATTGAAATATGAGTTCTTGATTGTTATCTTACAACATTCACAATCTCTGAGATAC